GTGGAGAGGTTGAGAAATCTGTTGCTGTTGTTGCTGAAGCTGCTGCTCCTCCTGCTTCGAGGAATCACCGCCTAAATCGCCGCCCCCGTACACGTTTGAGTCCTGATCGAGATAACCCCTTGACAACACGATAATTCGTTAAAATTTCCCTCTTCGCTCCGTCACTCCAGCTTTGCTCCAGCTTTTTATTCGTTTCAATTTTTTTTTTTTTTTTTTACGCTCTCCTTGCTTCGAGATCAAGGGCGAATCTTTCGACGTAAATTCGATACCTATTCCACGCGAAATAATTCGTCGAAAAATCCGCAATCGAATGTATATATATATATGTATATATATATATGTATGTATATAGGTTAGGTATGTCGTATATATTGCTCACCTTTCTCGAACCAGAGGGTCCTGGGTGTTAAAGCCGAGCGAATGCACGCCGTAAGCGTCGTCTACGTCGTTTCCTTGTTCCGGTGAGACGGGGATTTCTACCGGTTCGGCGTCACTCGCCTCGGCGACCGCGCCATTTTCAATTTCCTGTTGTCCCGCCTCCAGCACGCCCACCATGTCCCCGCCCTCTTCGCTTCCATGCTTTTCATAAGGTAGTTGGTAAAGTTGGTGGCGTTGCCGTTGTTGTTGTTGTTGTTGTTGTTGTTGCTGCTGCTTCTGTTGTTGTTGCCCCAACTGCGTTTCCTGCCGAAAAAGCACCACATCCCCGCTATCCGTCTCTAACAATCCTATCGATCCTCCATCGTTGTTCGATTCCTCGATACTCTCACCGATCAATTTCACGGATCTCTCCGTTTCTTTCTCGTATCCCGTCATTTCGTCCACGCATTCGGCCAATTCTGTGAACGTTAAAAATAAAAATAAAAGGAAAAAGGAAGAAAAGAAAAATATATCGAAACGAGTTCGATCGACGATGAATTCCTTCATTCATCGGGGGATAGAGGAGCTGGAAATTCCTTGTAACATCGAGTTTCGCGAAATGTTATGCATTACATCACAGTTCCAAGTTCCATTCGTGTCGTGTAGGGAAATCGACGAAACGTGATCGATCGATCCGATCGTAAATATCATGGTCAATGCGTTTCGATGACACGAGCAAACTGTTGCTAACCGGTACGTTACAGAAATAACTAATTGTCCTTATCTATAACTCGTTACCAATCGTACAAACTCGCGCGCATTTTCTTCGTTCAAAGTTTTTTTTTTTTTTACTATTTATAATACTCGCATTGTGTCTTTATATTTTTCAGGTTGAAAGAGGAGATTGGGGACGAGCGGAGTTGAGAAATATTGGAAAAAGAAGGACAGTTTCGCAACGAAACGAGAAACGAAAGATAAAGAGAGAAAAATTGATATTTCATTTTTCTTTTTTTCCTTTTTTGGGATAATAAATATGAATGGTGGACTTGGATTTCTTTTCTTTCGACGTTCGTTTTTTTATTTCCCTTGCGATCGATTCCGAAACGAAAAAAAGTGCGTTTACCTGGATTCTCTGCGGAATAAGTTTCATCTTATCGGGGCATCTTATCGAACGATGCACACGCATCGTCTCGCACCTCTAATCTCGTAATATCGATTAAAAAGGAGAATCGAGAAATAATAATAAAAAAAAAAAAGAAATATGCGAGAGATTGAAAAAAAATTATAGAAAAAGAAAAAAGAAATATTACGTAGAAAGAAAGGCGGAACGACACGATACAGATAAGAATTAGACAAACGGTAAAATTTTGTACAAGCTCGATTTGCATAGACGATTAAAATGACCACGTCGTAGACCGACGCTCATCGATCGAAACGCATTTTTATACGATATTTTTCTCCCAACGAAACATTGTATCAATCATTTATTTAACATTCAGCCGACCTTATTGACATTACCTAATCGAATTGGAAAGGTCAGGCTCGCCGATTTATCTAACGTTTTTTTTCATTCTACCGCGAGCTTTCTACGGCTTAAATATAGGTAGGCACGATCAACCCTTTCGTTGAACACATCGAAAATAAGAGTTTCGATAAAACATAAAGATTCGTGCAAAAATTGGAACTAAATCCTTCCCTGAATGTTACCATGACAATATTTTTGTTGATTCGTTTCATCTGATTTGTTAGGTTAGTTTCGGATACAAGACAAGACGAATTAACCTACGTGTTACGATATACATATTTTCTTTCGTTGAAAGTTCGATTATCGAATCGAATCGTATCGATTAAACTCGTGCCTTTGAATCGAGACTTCATGGAAGCGAGCAAGTGAATAAAGTGAGTGGAAGTCACGATTTCGATTAATCACTCGAACGATGAAAATCGCAGTCGATGTTAAACGAAGCAACGAGAAATCTCTTTCTCGCTCGCGTTGCGAAATCGTACCATCGAAACGATGTATCTCGCTCTCTTTTTACCTCGCTCGTAAAACATAGCCATACGGATTCAATGTCGTTGTTATCGGGATGTAACGCGCATACCGAAAATTAAATCGATTTCTTCTCCCACTTCTATTCTCCTTCTCTCTCTCTCTCTTTCTCTCTCTTTTTCTTCTAATTTTTTTTCCTCCCTGTTTTCTCTACGCTCTACGCTCTAAATAATATTACGTATATCTTCAACTTTCCTTAAATAGTGGGTACGTTTTTTATTATTATTATTCGTGACTATCCTTTTTATCGTTTCTTAAAGATTCGACAACCAATATTCTTTAACAAGTTTATAAGCAAGAATATAGGAAATAATTTTGAAAATTCAGGAGAATTATAATATTTCCTTTCTTCGATCGTTCTCTATGGGGAAAAAAAAAATATATATATATATGACTTGTGCGTTTTACTATTCGAAAGTTGTAAAAAACTTTTACTGATTTTTCTCGAATAAATCAAGTATCTATAATCGTAATTTTCCGTTTTTCGTCACGGTTCTTACAATGCTGCCGGCCAAAAAGAACGAGGTTAACGTTCCCCCATAGAAGTGGTAGCGAGGGAAGAGATCCCGATTCGTCGGCCGAGCGGAAGACGTTTTGTACAACGGGGGCAGAGGTTGCTCTTATCTTCTTGGCCCCATAAAAACGTTTACTGTTATCCGCAACGTACTATACGACCAAGACGGCCGCGCATCGATGCGGCTTACGACGAGATTTTCAGAGATTGAATAGTCTCTTTATCTCGACCTTCTCGATCCTCTCCCCATTCCTATCCCACTTCTCCACCAAGCCTCTTGCTTCAACCGATCTTTTTTTTATTCCTATTCCTTTTATTCCAATTATCCACTTTATTCCGACTTTTTTCCTTTCCTTTTCTTTTCTTTCCTTTTTTTTTTTCATTTCTTGATTCATCTATAATTGCACGTGGAATCTTGCATTCTATTTATGAAAGTAGAAATGCAAAATTGAATTTTTATCCTATATCTTATATTTAATTGAATATTCTACTCGTTTAGATTTAGATCTCGAATATTTTTTACGGATAAAATTAAATAAAATTTTGTTACGCCTTTTTAATTATTCAGGATCGACATGTATTAATATTCGTTTCATTCAAGTCGAAATCGGTTTTCACTCGGTTATTAATAATTTTTTGGAATAAAAAGTTGATGAAAAATATTTAAAAAAGTCTAAAAATATGAAAAAAAAAAAAAAAGAAAATTGGTTCTCGAATAGTTCAAGTAAGCGAGTATAGAGAAAATAGTATGGACTTAAATACGATGCTAATACCAATGCATTTGAAACGGCTCTTAAATCGCAGACTGCGCGTTTCTCCGTTGATATTCTTGTCATAGAACAGTCGCGCCATTGTAGAAAGACCAAATATTCTCTGAAGATCTCGGAGATTCCGCCGAGTTTTACGTTTCACGTATAAACGGCTCGACGATACTTCCTGCTTCGTACCGTCATCAAGTAATCGTCGAAAAATTTTTATTAATCTTCCTTTCCCTTTCCGCTCTCTCCCCAACTTTTCGTCCTAATTTCTAACTCGAAATTAAGAGAAGAACGGTAAATACAAGCGGTATAATACAAAGAGACGGCGAGGCCAAATTACGGCAAAGTACCTCTGCGGGTTGATAGAACGCGATACGTCCTAACTCTGATAAGACGATATGAGCCGGCACGCGACCACGGCACACGACTGAAACGGCACGACAATTCCGTGAAACGACAATTTTTTCGATATCGAGGTATTGAAAAAAAAAAAAAAAAAAAAAAAAAAAAAAAAAAAAAAAAAAAAAAAAAAAAAAAAAGAAAAAAATATCGACGCGCGATTATCGAATTCGATTATTTCGAAGCCGAGCGAAACAACATTTCGAGAATGTCGAGGATTCCCGCGATGTGGAATCAGGAAGGAGGCGGCATCGAAAACTTGATGAACGAGAGGGCCAGAGGGAGGAGATCGAGGGCGGTCGGTAACCCTTGTTTATCTCGCCGGTTCTTCGTTTCTCTATCTCGAAACTCGCTAAAAAAAAATATGAACTTCTAATTGAGTCGTAGAAATTTACTGTCAGTGACTGTATCGATCTGTGATCTATCTTAGATCTTGTTTCAAATAAATAAATAAATAATAATAATAATAATAATACATTTCATCGTTTGTTTTTCGCCGTAATATATATAAAGATCGTAAATATATAATCAATATTATATTGCGATGCATATCTAGAACATTTAAAATCGAACCGAATTTAAAAAATTTATAGGGAGAGATTATTTGTATAATTCATCTTACAATAGATTGTTTCAAATAAATAAATAAATAATAATAATAATAATACATTTCATCGTTTGTTTTTCACCGTAATGTATATAAAGATCGTAAATATATAATCAATATTGTATTGCGATGCATATCTAGAACATTTAAAATCGAACCGAATTTAAAAAATTTATAGGGAGAGATTATTTGTATAATTCATCTTACAATAGATTGTTTCAAATAAATAAATAATAATAATACATTTCATCGTTTGTTTTTCGCCGTAATGTATATAATATAATATAATGTATATATAATGTATATAAAGATCGTAAATATATAATCAATATTGTATTGCGATGTATATCTAGAACATTTAAAATCGAACCGAATTTAAAAAATTTATAGGGAGAGATAATTTGTAAAATCCATCTTACAATAGATTGTTTCAAATAAATAAATAATAATAATATATTTCATCGTTTGTTTTTCGCCGTAATGTATATAAAGATCGTAAATATATAATCAATATTGTA